GCCAGTCACGCAGCCGTCTCTGTGTCTTCCTCCGTTGGCCCCTGTGGCCTGAGGCTGATCAGACACTGGCCTTGGAAATGGGCTGCCGGCTGGACAGGGGCTACTTACCCCATCAGGGCTGGTGGGGGACAGAGGGTACCTGCCGTTTGCCGAGGGAGGGTGACCACACGGGCCTTTGTTCTCGAAGCTCTCCTGGCCCAGAGTCACCCCAGTTCTCCAGGTTGTCCCCGCTTGGACAGTTTCTAGTGTACTCAAGACCTGTTTCAAGTGTCACCTCCCTCTCCTGGCCAGGGTCCCACAGGACTGTGGTTATGTGGATAGCATGAGTCTTTATTTTATTTTATTTTTTTGAGTCAGGGTCTCACTCTGTCACCCAGGCTGGAGTGCAGTGGCCCCATCATGCCTCACTGCAGTCTTGATCTCCTAGACTCAGGCAATCCTGCCTCAGCCTCCTGAGTAGCTGGGACTAGGTGTGTGCCACCATGCCCGGCTAATTGTTTTTCATGTTTTGTAGATTTGAGGCCTCGATACACTACCTAGGTTGATCTCAAAGTCCTGGACTCCTACCTCGGCCTCCCAAAGTGCTGACATTACAGCCATGAACCATTGTGCTTAGCTGTTATGGCTTAACCCCGATGGATTGGGCTTTCTGGGCTTCAGATGCCAGCATTAGTTCAGGACCCACTGAGGGGTTCGGGCAGTGACTGAGTGCACCCCATCTCCCTACCAGGGTGTGGGGTCTGCCCAGATGGACCATGACCCCATGCTGTATCTGCCTAGTGGTTCTGGGGGGCAACTTCTTGGCCCCAAAAGCACAGTCACTTCCCTTTGCTCCCACAACCCTGGGAAATCTATCCCAGGGCTGGGAGTCGTTTATTAGAGGGTCTGTCTCCTTGTCCCAGCTCCTTGGAGTTCCAGGGCTTAGTGCTGGGCCTGCTTTGAAACCCTTCACTTGGGACCATCCTGGGCACCAGGCCTGCAGGGTCCCCAGAGAACGCATCTGAGATTCTCAGATAACCAGCTTGAAGTCTGAACAATCAGTTTTTGTTGAAAGGAAAATTGCTAACATTAGGCAGGCACTTTATCATGTATGCCACGCTCTGTTTTGGGCATTTATAAACACTGACCTCTTTAATGCTCGGAACAGCCCCTAAAGTGATGATTACTCATCCCTTTTTCTGTGAGTGGGAACAGGACACCTGGGCGTTTGGTAGCCTGTCCAGGGCCCCTACCAGTAGGGAACCTTAAAGCCCAGACTTGAAAGAGCCACCACCACAGGAGGCAGAGATTCCCCAGGAGGCAGGGGGAGGGTCTTTGAAGAGATCAGAGGCTGTGAGGCGGTGAGAACAGAGAGGGGCCGGCCCAGGACAGGCAGGGCCCTGGTGTTCAGGCAGTTGGGGAGAGATGCCGGCACCAGCTCCTGCCCAGGCCTCTGGGGTGACTCCCGGGCACGGAGGTGAGGCCCAAAAGGCTGGAGGTCCCGGAGTAGGGGCAAGAGGTGCCCAGCAGTGACTTCCAGAGCTGGGTCCCAACCCCCACATCAGAGGGTTGCAGGTGCTCTCAGGAAGGTCTGCCCCCACCCCTCCGGCGGGGCCCCTCCCTCATGATCGCTGAGCCCGAGGGCCAGGCTGTCCCCCGGGGCGGAGAGACGAGGGCCTTTCCCGATCCGTAATGGGCCTGGGAGATGCCAGGAGATGGCGTGGCGCCTGTCCAGAGAGGTGGGCCCGCTGATGCCGGGTCGGGGCGTGCCGCCGGCCACCCGGGCTCCGGTCGCGGCCAGGACCCGAAGGCTGCACCCGGCTGCACCGCGTCTCCGGCCGGGCGGCCGCAGGTAAAGGGCTCGGGTGGCGCCGGCG